CAAGCTCATAGGAAGAAGCTGGACCCTGAGACATAGCCAAGACCAGGCCCTGAAGGCTGACTTCCCCAGGGTCCTGAGATGCACCCAAGACCCAGAGGCCAGAGGCTGCTTTCCCCAGGGTCCTGAGATGCACCCAAGACCCAGAGGCCAGAGGCTGCTTTCCCCAGGGCTCTTCTTGCTGCCTGAGCATGTCACGCTACACTCATTTTTCTCACGGTCTGTTATAATTCCAGACACATGGTTCTCCATGTTTAACTCATCAATACTGAACAATGTGTCCTAATGTGTAGTAGCTTTAGTTTTCCTGTCAAATAATCAATGGTAGCTAATGAGTACTGAGATCTGCCTGTGCCCAGTGCCACTCCTGAGAGTCCCGCAGGCCCTCCCATCCACAGTGGCAATGAGAATGTCGGCGCACACGACAGGCCGCACAGCCCAGGGTGTCTCAGCCCACCGCTGTCCTCTCACTGCAGCACCTCCACTCACGGCCCACTGCTGCACAGGGGCCAGGGGCCAGGGAGATGCCCTTCAGTCATGTCCTGGTTGGGGACGAAGCTCTGCTTTGTTCTAAGGACACCTAGCATCACAACCACCAAGCTATTTTCCACAGCTTTGCTCCAAGAAAGTCTCCAGGGAAAGCACTCGCAGGTGGCACACGCTGCAAGCTGAGCAAGCCACTGACTCACAAGGCGTTCTATTCCATGAGGAAGACTGACTGACCACAGTCATTGCCTCTCGGGTATTTGGCGAACATTCTCTTCAACAAAATAAGTCTATAATGAGAATAACTGTCAATGTTTGGGGCCAATAATAAAACTGGAGCATTCAAAAGAAATTAGAATTTGCAAACATGTCCATGTGTTTGACAATTTCATGAAATGATATGTTTTTCCTAAATGTAATGATAGATATATCAATGCCTATGAATTTTAAAATATTGTATAATTAAATGTGTTGGCATTTGCAGAGTCCATTGTACCAGTATTCTGGAAATCACCTGTGAATCAAAACCACAAACTTTAATGTAGCCAAGAATGATGGGATTTCTGAATCCACATCAGAGCCAACCTTTAAGAAGCAACACCTGCCAAGTCCTGGTGTGGTACCAAAGAATACCCAAGGTTCTTCAAATTACAAGCAAGTATTCTTGCCTTTTCCAAGCACATACCTGATGAGGCTGGATTTTTTTTCCACCTACTTCAACCAAAACAGCAAACAGTGTGACACAAAAGATGCAAATATCCAGAAGTCTCTTCTGTCAGGCAGAAAGATCTGCCAAAACGGACAACAGTGCCCCTAAGCTGAGGGATTTGTTCTTGCTTGATTTGGGAAACGATTTTCTGAAAGACCTCTGTCATTTAGAGTAATGCGCAACTGATCAATTGTAGCTATTTTAAACAAATCAGTAAGTAACTGTTTTCAACTTCCTGTTTTAATTTCTATGGTAGCAACTACTGATAGATGCTGCCCACACAAACAAACGCCCTCTAAGGTATGTGATAATACAAATGCAAGAGCCCCGAGAATAAGGTTGGGGAACCACTACTCTAAAGAATTAGATGTGTCAAAATTTTATATAATGAACCATTGAATTCATCTAGCAGATTACAAAATAGGAGAGAAGGATGTAGGGGTGCCCACTGACAATGTGGCATTCCATCTCAGTTATGTCCTGGTTAAGCTCTGGATGCTCCACCTCCAATCCAGTTTCCTGCTAATGCGCCTGGGGCAGCAGCAGCTGGTGGCTCAAGTATGCAGCCCTGCCATCCATGCAGCAGATCCATACAGAACTTCCTGGCTCCTGAGTTTGGCCTGACTATTGTGGACATTTGGGCAATAGATCCAGTACACAGAAGGTTCTCATTCTCTCCCTCTGTCAAATAAATATTTTTTAAATGATGCTTATAATTAGTTCCTTTGTATTTTGTTTATGTTCGTTGTATTTGCAAGGCAGAGAAAACCAAATGTTCCATCTGCTGGTTCTTCAAATGCCCGGGCAGCCAGGCCAAAGCCAGGCGCCCACAGTTCAGGCCAGGCCTCCCACGTGGGCAGCTCTCCCCTGCTGTCTCCTAAAATGAAATTGGCAGGACGCTCATGTGCAAGCAGAGGAGCCGGGATTTGAGGCAGGCACTCTTGCATGAAATCTGTGTGTTGGGGGGTAATACTGTTTCAACCACACTTTATAGAAGGATCATGAATCTACTAACATGTCCTACATACACATCAAACTTCCAAGGTCTGAAAAAAAATGCAGCCATATCTTCCAGGCTCAACGTTTGCGGGGAGGATTCCTAAACCAAGATTTCCTTCTTTTCTCTAGAAAAAAAAAAACAGAAATCGCTAGTTTCACCTATTTATGTAACAGTTATAATCTTTAAAGTCTGTTTTGTTTTCTTTCTGACCCAAATTTTGGTGCCTCACAAGCAGATGGAAACCCCACCTTAGAAGTGTTCCTGAAGCCCCCTTTCCCTGCAGGCAAGCTCCGCTCCAACGCCACCACCTCTCTGCACTTGGGACAGACAAGCGCAACTGCTGGTAAACTGGAAACTGGACCCACAGTCTACTGCACTTCCTGTGTGTGAACCAGGACCAGGGTCTGGTCGGCCCAGTAGGTCCCTAGCACAGACACTCACTTGATATTTGGAATTGTTTCTGCGCAGTTTTAAAGCAATGAGGGAACCTATTAAAACTGCAACATTGCAGCGCCGGGATTAGCAAAGAGATGCTTCCATTTTTTCTCCAGCTGTGTGAAGGAGTAGGGAAGAAATACTCTCAGAACTTCTGAGAATGTTAAGATCCCAGAGATCTAAGGAACCCTCCTGCTGACTGTCGGGGAGGGAGCTGCTGACCCACATGACACTGCTGCACAGAACATGTGACCTGGGGGACTGCGGTGACAAAGTCACAGGAAAGGAATGCTGCCCAGGCCACAGGCACAGGAGATGGAATTGGGACATTTAGAAACACCCTCACCCAAACCCAGATGTGCACTCATTGTGTGAAATCCCTGCCTACCAGCTTGGGAAACATGCGCCTAAGCCAAGATGTAGATTTGCTTTTGGGAAGCACGACTTCTGTAAGATCCTGGCTTCTTCACATTCTACTTGGAAGCTGAAAACATGGGCTTTTAATTACAGAACTTTCTCTCACTATCATGGATCCTTCCCTTTCAAATAGCCATCCAGACAGGCCTGGACTTGAGTGGATGGAATCTTCCAGCAGCCTGAGCCGAGCCTCACATCTGAGTTAGACAACTTTGCTGTTCCTCGGGAGTGCGGAAGATATGTGGGCTAAGGGAAGAAAAGGCTACCAAGCAGCCTCGTTTGTCAACTCCAGGACCCGCAAGCCCTTTCCTCTCCCAGCTCTAAACTACCAATGGGAGGAGATATTTTTCTCTCCAAAATATGGCTGTCAATTTAAGGCAACTAAGTAGTAAATCCACCTAGAAGTGCCTTCACAGCGTGTGGTATAGAAAGCCAATAAAGATTTCTCATTTAGCTTTCCCAGTAATGAAAATGCGAAATGTCACTTTCTGTGTCCAAAAATTCTATTTATGACCTTATCTAGGTTATATAAACTCCAGGTTGTTCGGTGCACTGCAGAAATGCAGTAGGGTGACCATATATATTTTTGCAATTAAAAATAATTCATATGTTTTAAAAGTTATAGCTAGCAGATCGATAGCTCATGGGGAAACACAAGCAAGCATAAATAATTCCCTTTCCTTCCATGAATGCAATGGTTTTTGTGTTAGCTGGTCACAGTTTTACAAAACCTGTCAAGTCAAGGCAAACAAAGTGTGCTAAGAGGCCTACTCATTGTGATTGGAAATGGGTCAGGACACCCCACAGGCAGAGGGCTAGACTCCCAGCCCAGAGAGCACGGTCAGGAAGAATTCAGGAGGATCATCCAGCCCCTACCCTAGTCCAGCTAGTCCAACTGGCTGCATTATATGTCAGGCATAACCCATGAAGTTCTTTAGTCTGCTTTCAACCCAAAGGAGGTACCATGCTGACACTATTCAGAACTTACAACAAAATTCCATTGCCATTATTCCTCTGTGTCCCAGCCCATGGCTCAAAGGGATCGCTGTGTTCTTATGTTTAAAATCAGTATTCTGGAAAAGATACTATTATAGACAACAACTCATAAAACAACCTGTTAATACATGAAGGCCTATAGAATATCTGACTTCATCTCACCTGCTTTCCCTTTCACAACGTCAAGGCCAGCAAATAAATGGTAAACATTCCTCAGAGACCAGGAGAACTCAGAAACAGCACGCTGGGCTCAGCATTCTACCCAGAGGCAATGGCTCAGTGACCACGGAACCGTGGGAGAGCCTTGGAAGGCAGCCACTGACCTGACCAAAGCAGCAGCTCCTGGCCCGGTCATGGAAGGGAACCATTGGCCAGACTGTGGCAGGAAGCCAGGCACCAGGAAGTACACATGGTACTGGGACACCGGGGGTCTCAGATCTGTGCCACAAGGGAAAGCCAAGCCCTCTGAGAAGTAAGAAAAAGAAGGGGAATTTCAGTTCACAACCTGAAAGCTAGAGACAAAACTCCAGGAACTGGAAGGTGTACAGGAGGAACTGGAAGGTGTACAGGAGGAACTGGAAGGTGTACAGGTGGAACTGGAAGGTGTACAGGTGGAACTGGAAGGTGTACACGAGGAACTGGAAGGTGTACAGCAGGAACCGGAAGGTGTACAGCTGGGAACTGGAAGGTGTACAGGTGGGAACTGGAAGGTGCAAGGGTGGGAACTGGAAGGTGTACAGGAGGGAAGTGGAAGGTGTACAGGAGGAACTGGAAGGTGTACAGGAGGGAACTGGAAGGTGTACAGGAGGAACTGGAAGGTGTACAGGAGGAACTGGAAGGTGTACAGGAGGAACTGGAAGGTGTACAGGAGGGAACTGGAAGGTGTACAGGAGGAACTGGAAGGTGTACAGGAGGAACTGGAAGGTGTACAGGTGGGAACTGGAAGATGTACAGGAGGAACTAGAAGGTGTACAGGAGGAACCGGAAGGTGTACAGGTGGAACTGGAAGATGTACAGGAGGAACTGGAAGGTGTACAGGAGGGAACTGGAAGGTGTACAGGAGGAACTGGAAGGTGTACAGGAGGGAACTGGAAGGTGTACAGGTGGAACTGGAAGATGTACAGGAGGAACTGGAAGGTGTACAGGAGGGAACTGGAAGGTGTACAGGAGGAACTGGAAGGTGTACAGGAGGAACTGGAAGGTGTACAGGAGGAACTGGAAGGTGTACAGGAGGAACTGGAAGGTGTACAGGTGGAACTGGAAGATGTACAGGAGGAACTGGAAGGTGTACAGGTGGGAACTGGAAGGTGTACAGGTGGAACTGGAAGGTGTACAGGAGGAACTGGAAGGTGTACAGGAGGAACTGGAAGGTGTACAGGAGGGAACTGGAAGGTGTACAGGAGGGAACTGGAAGGTGTACAGGAGGAACTGGAAGGTGTACAGGAGGAACTGGAAGGTGTACAGGTGGAACTGGAAGGTGTACAGGAGGAACTGGAAGGTGTACAGGAGGGAACTGGAAGGTGTACAGGAGGAACTGGAAGGTGTACAGGAGGAACTGGAAGGTGTACAGGAGGAACTGGAAGGTGTAGAGGAGGAACTGGAAGGTGTACACGAGGAACTGGAAGGTGTACAGGAGGGAACTGGAAGGTGTACAGGTGGAACTGGAAGGTGTACAGGAGGAACTGGAAGGTGTACAGGTGGAACTGGAAGGTGTACACGAGGAACTGGAAGGTGTACAGGAGGAACTGGAAGGTGTACAGCTGGGAACTGGAAGGTGTACAGGTGGAACTGGAAGATGTACAGGAGGAACTGGAAGGTGTACAGGAGGAACTGGAAGGTGTACAGGAGGGAACTGGAAGGTGTACAGGAGGAACCGGAAGGTGTACAGGAGGAACTGGAAGGTGTACAGGAGGGAAGTGGAAGGTGTACAGGAGGAACTGGAAGGTGTACAGGAGGAACTGGAAGGTGTACAGGAGGAACCGGAAGGTGTACAGGTGGAACTGGAAGATGTACAGGAGGAACTGGAAGGTGTACAGGAGGGAAGTGGAAGGTGTACAGGAGGAACTGGAAGGTGTACAGGAGGAACTGGAAGGTGTACAGGTGGGAACTGGAAGGTGTACAGGAGGGAACTGGAAGGTGTACAGGAGGGAACTGGAAGGTGTACAGGAGGGAACTGGAAGGTGTACAGGAGGGAACTGGAAGGTGTACAGGTGGGAACTGGAGGTGTACAGGAGGGAACTGGAAGGTGTACAGGAGGGAACTGGAAGGTGTACAGGAGGAACTGGAAGGTGTACAGGAGGGAACTGGAAGGTGTACAGGAGGAACCGGAAGGTGTACAGGAGGAACTGGAAGGTGTACAGGAGGGAAGTGGAAGGTGTACAGGAGGAACTGGAAGGTGTACAGGAGGAACCGGAAGGTGTACAGGAGGAACCGGAAGGTGTACAGGTGGAACTGGAAGATGTACAGGAGGAACTGGAAGGTGTACAGGAGGGAAGTGGAAGGTGTACAGGAGGAACTGGAAGGTGTACAGGAGGAACTGGAAGGTGTACAGGTGGGAACTGGAAGGTGTACAGGAGGAACTGGAAGGTGTACAGGAGGGAACTGGAAGGTGTACAGGAGGGAACTGGAAGGTGTACAGGAGGGAACTGGAAGGTGTACAGGTGGGAACTGGAGGTGTACAGGAGGGAACTGGAAGGTGTACAGGAGGGAACTGGAAGGTGTACACGAGGAACTGGAAGGTGTACAGGAGGGAACTGGAAGGTGTACAGGTGGGAACTGGAAGGTGTACACGAGGAACTGGAAGGTGTACAGGTGGAACTGGAAGGTGTACAGGTGGGAACTGGAAGGTGTACAGGTGGAACTGGAAGGTGTACAGGAGGGAACTGGAAGGTGTACAGGAGGGAACTGGAAGGTGTACAGGAGGGAACTGGAAGGTGTACAGGAGGGAACTGGAAGGTGTACACGAGGAACTGGAAGGTGTACAGGAGGGAACTGGAAGGTGTACAGGAGGGAACTGGAAGGTGTACAGGAGGAACTGGAAGGTGTACAGGAGGAACTGGAAGGTGTACAGGAGGGAACTGGAAGGTGTACAGGAGGAACTGGAAGGTGTACAGGAGGAACTGGAAGGTGTACAGGTGGAACTGGAAGATGTACAGGAGGAACTGGAAGTTGTACAGGAGGAACCGGAAGGTGTACAGGTGGAACTGGAAGATGTACAGGAGGAACTGGAAGGTGTACAGGAGGGAAGTGGAAGGTGTACAGGAGGAACTGGAAGGTGTACAGTTGGGAACTGGAAGGTGTACAGGTGGGAACTGGAAGGTGTACAGGAGGAACTGGAAGGTGTACAGGAGGGAACTGGAAGGTGTACAGGAGGGAACTGGAAGGTGTACACGAGGAACTGGAAGGTGTACAGGAGGGAACTGGAAGGTGTACAGGAGGGAACTGGAAGGTGTACAGGAGGAACTGGAAGGTGTACAGGAGGAACTGGAAGGTGTACAGGAGGGAACTGGAAGGTGTACAGGAGGAACTGGAAGGTGTACAGGAGGGAACTGGAAGGTGTACAGGAGGAACTGGAAGGTGTACAGGAGGGAACTGGAAGGTGTACAGGAGGAACTGGAAGGTGTACAGGAGGGAAGTGGAAGGTGTACAGGTGGAACTGGAAGATGTACAGGAGGAACTGGAAGGTGTACAGGAGGAACTGGAAGGTGTACAGGAGGGAAGTGGAAGGTGTACAGGAGGAACTGGAAGGTGTAGAGGAGGAACTGGGAGGTGTACAGGAGGGAAGTGGAAGGTGTACAGGTGGAACTGGAAGGTGTACAGGAGGAACTGGAAGGTGTACAGGAGGAACTGGAAGGTGTAGAGGAGGGAACTGGAAGGTGTACAGGAGGAACTGGAAGGTGTACAGGAGGGAACTGGAAGGTGTACAGGAGGAACTGGAAGGTGTACAGGAGGAACTGGAAGGTGTACAGGTGGAACTGGAAGGTGTACAGGAGGAACTGGGAGGTGTACAGGTGGAACTGGAAGGTGTACAGGAGGGAACTGGAAGGTGTACAGGAGGAACTGGAAGGTGTACAGGAGGGAACTGGAAGGTGTACAGGTGGAACTGGAAGGTGTACAGGAGGAACTGGAAGGTGTACAGGTGGAACTGGAAGGTGTACAGGAGGAACTGGAAGGTGTACAGGTGGAACTGGAAGGTGTACAGGAGGGAACTGGAAGGTGTACAGGAGGAACTGGAAGGTGTACAGGTGGAACTGGAAGATGTACAGGAGGAACTGGAAGGTGTACAGGTGGGAACTGGAAGGTGTACAGGAGGAACTGGAAGGTGTACAGGAGGAACTGGAAGGTGTACAGGAGGGAACTGGAAGGTGTACAGGTGGAACTGGAAGGTGTACAGCTGGGAACTGGAAGGTGTACAGGAGGAACTGGAAGGTGTAGAGGAGGGAACTGGAAGGTGTACAGGAGGGAACTGGAAGGTGTACAGGAGGAACTGGAAGGTGTACAGGAGGAACTGGAAGGTATACAGGAGGAACTGGAAGGTATACAGCTGAGAACTAGCTCAATTGCCATTCTTGTTCCAGAATTAAACAGGAAGCACTGTATGTCGCCCTGCAGGAACTCCCATGAAAGAGACAAGACAGTCTCCAGGGACCTCATCCCGTGAAAAGCTAGATCTGTCGGTCTATATATCCATTCAGCATCCTGTTTCACACGAAGAGCATTACACAAAACATGTATCTGCAATTGTGCAGATTTTAAACTTAAATTCTCTCTCCACTTGAATCCAGAAGAGCCTACTACATAGAGAGAAAAACAATCTTGATTTTTCTGGAATCAAGCAATTCTCAAAAAGTTGCATTACTTAATATTTAATTCACTATGATTCCACTTAGCATTATTGATGACATACACTTAGCTTCTGGAACTCCAGTGCCAATTAATATTGACCCTGTCTCTTAAGGAAGCAATAAAATACTTAGCATGGTGACACTGTGGTATCAAGATAATAAGGGGAAAAAATAGTAACGACCCTGGACAGGCAATGAATTTTAAAAATCAATTAAAAGATCAATGCTGTTTTCATTTTGTCACAAAAATCCTGAGTCAGAGACAATGCTAGATCACAAAAACCCTGGTTTTATTGGCATTTCTGGCAAAGTTAATTAAGTGGAAACCCTCTCCTGATTGATTGATAAAGCACAGAGCCACAGCAAATTTCTGGTCTGGGTCTCTGTGCGCACTTTCCTTCGGCAGGATGCATAACTGGTGTTTCCCTCAGCAGCTGCAGGCAGTGAAAAATCCCCTAATGTACTGAGCTTAGAATTTATTAACACATTTAAATATTATTTATGTTAATCAATATAAACCATTACATTGATCTTTCAGAAATATTGCACTGTTTTATTCCTCACTAATAGCTAATAGTACGTAAGTGTCAAACACTTTTTTCACCTGATCTCGGGCTTTCTGGGTAAACCCTGGCACAAGGCTCACCATTCCCCACCACCCACAGAGCACACCATACCCAGGATGCACCCATGCCACAGAGCACGCCATACCCAACATGCACCCATGCCACAGAGCACGCCATACCCAACATGCACCCATGCCACAGAGCACGCCATACCCAACATGCACCCATGCCACAGAGCATGCCATACCCAGTATGCACCCATGCCACAGAGCACGCCATACCCAACATGTACCCATGCCACAGAGCACGCCATACCCAACATGCACCCATGCCATAGAGCACGCCATACCCAACATGCACCCATGCCACAGAGCACGCCATACCCAACATGCACCCATGCCACAGAGCACGCCATACCCAGTATGCACCCATGCCACAGAGCACGCCATACCCAACATGCACCCATGCCACAGAGCACGCCATACCCAACATGCACCCATGCCACAGAGCACGCCATATCCAACATGCACCCATGCCACAGAGCACGCCATACCCAGTATGCACCCATGCCACAGAGCACGCCATACCCAACATGCACCCATGCCACAGAGCA